CCATTCCTTCAAAAGCAAACTCTTGGGACAGGAAACAAGGCTGATGGTGGTACTTCTCGTACCTATCCGAAGTTTGCCCCATTTATGTGGGAAAAGCACTGCACACGTCAAGTGCCCAGCCTGTGTCTCCTCAAAATTACCTAGTGAAACAGCACAGCCGCTGGCCGGCAGTGGTACTGCAGGGATGCTGACTTAAGAGGCAAAGGCCTGACGTCGTGGGCATCAAAGAAGGTACTAGTTTGCAAGGTAAAAGAATCCTCCTAGTACAGTGGTAAAGGCGTAAGCATCATCAGCTTCTCAAAATTGTCAAAGTGCATATTCTTGAGGCCTATATCCTTGATCTGCCAAAACAGAAATGTACGTTTTATTTTTATTTATTTATTTATTTGTTTGTTTTTTTAAGATTTCATTTGTGAGGGGCACCTGGGTGGCTCAGTGGGTTAAAGCCTCTGCCTTCAGCTCAGGTTATGATCCCAGGGTCCCGGGATCGAGCCCCGCATCAGGCTCTCTGCTCGGCAGGGAGCCTGCTTCCCCCTCTCTGCCTGCCTCTCTGCCTACTTGTGATTTCTGTCTGTGAAATAAATAAGTAAAATCTTAAAAAAAAAAAATTTCATTTGTGAGAGAGAGAGAGAAAGAGCACAAGCAGTGGGAGCGGCAGGCTGAGGGAGAAGCAGGCTCCCTCCTGAGTAAGGAGCTCAATGTGGAACTCAATCCCAGGACCCCTGAGCCCAAAGCAGATGCATAATCAACTGAGCCACCAAGGGATCCCAGAAATGTGGCTTTAAAAAAAATTTCTCCAGGGGCGCCTGGGTGGCTCAGTGGGTTAAGCTGCTGCCTTCGGCTCAGGTCATGATCTCAGGGTCCTGGGATCAAGTCCCGCATTGGGCTCTCTGCTCAGCAGGAAGCCTGCTTCCCTCTCTCTCTCTCTCTCTCTCTGCCTGCCTCTCCGTCTACTTGTGATCTCTCTGTCAAATAAATAAAATCTTAAAAAAAAAAAAATTTCTCCAGATGTCTGAAGTTCCCACAAGATTTGAGAACCATTTCTCTAATTACTTCCAATTTCTCCTTAAAACCCAGTACAACTGTAAAATACTCCAGAATTACCATTTGACATTTGCTGTAAGAAGTGATTTTAAAGATTTAATTTGAGAGAGAGAGAGAGAGAGAGCACGCGCACAGGAGAGTGAGTTGGGGGAGTGGCAGAAGGGGGAGGATCTCAGGCCTACGCCCTTATGAACATGGAGCCCCACCAGGGGAGTGAGCCTTGGTCTCAGGACCCTGAGATCACCACCGACCTTGAGATCACATCTGCAGTGGAAACCCAAAGTTGGACACTTAACCAACTGAGCCACTTAGTCGCCCCAACACCTTTTTGCTTCAAACCATTTCTGGGGAGCGCCTGGGTGGCTCAGTTGTTTAAGCCGCTGCCTTGGGCTCAGGTCACGATCCCAGAGTCCTGGGATCAAGTCCCGAATCAGGCTCCTTGCTCTGCAGGAAACTTGCTTCTCTCTCCGTCTCTGCCTGACACTCTGCTTGCTTGTGCTCGCTCTCTCTCTCTGACAAATAAATCTTTAAAAAAAAAAAATTTTTTTTTTTCTGGGGCACGTGGGTGGCTCAGCAGGTTAAGTGTTTTTGACTCTTGATTTTGGCTCGGGTGATCTCGGGATTGTGGAATAGAGCCCTGTGTTAGGCTCCAGGCTTGGTGGGGAGTCTTCTTCCTCCTTCTCCCCCTCTCTCTGTCCCTCCCTCAGCTTGTGCACTCTTAAATAAATAAATACAAATAACACTGTTAACTGGAATTAAAATAAAAACTAAAAAAATAAGAATTAAAAAACAAAAAAAAGCTCACGATGAGAAAAACAAACTCAGAAGTGGCATTCTTAGTTTTTATTTTAAGTAAACTCTACACCCAGCATGGGGCTCAAACTCACAACCTCAGTATCAAGAGTCACAGAGCTCTAATGTCTGAGCCAGCCAGGTGCCCCGGTGCTCTTAATTCTATTTTCTTCTGAAAGTAACACAAAAATCTAGTTAATTCGTCCACAGGTCATTCACTCTTCACTACACAAAGATTAAGGCCCTTACAGGTAAGAAAACACAGGAAGGTCTACAATTTGGGGAATGGAGATATTCAAGAGATACAGAAGGAAATGAATGTTTTTTAAGACCCCTTTAAGCATTCTCTCACTTTATTCTCAGAGCAAGTTTAAGTAATCTGCCCGAGTACTTTACCATATACCCTAAGTGTGACCTCCAACAAGAAGCACCTAAGAGGGACGCCTGGGTGGCTCAGTTGGTTAAGCGGCTGCCTTCGGCTCAGGTCATGGTCCTAGCGTCCTGGGATCGAGTCCCACATCGGGTTCCTTGCTTGGCGGGGAGCCTGCTTCTCCCTCTGCCTCTGCCTGCCACTCTGCCTGCCACTCTGCCTGTGCTCGTGCTCTCTCTCTCTCTCTAACAAATAAATAAATAAAATCTTTAAAAAAAGAAGCACCTAAGAGCTTCCTAAAAATGAAGACTCATGGGCTCAGTCCCAGATCTACCGGACTCATCTGCCGTTTATCAGGATCCCCAGGTGATTCTCATACATGTTAAAGGTTTTAATTACTTGGCCCTAATGCCCATTATTCTAAGTGGTACAGCTGGGATAGAGGATGGGCCTGAAACCAGTTGTAAAGGATGCTCTGGGAGGCACCTGGGTGGCTGTGGGTTGACTCTTGGTTTCAGCTCAGGTCATCATCTCACGGTCCTGGGGCCAAGCCCCATGTAGGACTCAATCCCAGGACTCTGATTTGGTGACCTAAACTGAAGGCAGAGGCTTTAACCCACTGATCCACCCAGGCACCCCTGTGAACTGTTTAAAGTAGGCCTGATGCCCCAGTTTGGAGCCCAACACAGGGCTTGAACTCAAGACCCTGAGATCAAGCCTCATAGAGGGCTTGACCCAGGACACGGAGCTCACCACCTGAGCTGAAGCCACCGTCCCATGCTTAACTGAGCCACCCAGGTGCCCTGATACAGTAGTTCAAACCAAAAAATTTAAATTTACACTTTTGAAGGGATGTGGAATACAGTGGAGAATCATTGCTTTTTCATTTTTTGAGAATCAGCAAGCTTTTTAAATTTTTTCAAGTCATCTCTACACCCAGTGTGGGGCTTGACTTCACAACCCGAGTCCCAAGCTCTACCAACTGTCAGCCAGCACCCAGATAATCTGTAGGTCTGAAGTATTTTATATGGCCCACTCATGGAAATAGTTTGCTCATCAAAATTAAGTCCTATAAAACCCACCTGCACTTCCCATTGCAGACGAAGATCCTAAGGCTCCATTTCAGTACAAAGAACCAGAACCTACCTTCTGGTTAGTGTTTTGAACAGTTAAGAGTTTAGCAGTTAGGACAACTGATGGCTTGGGGAGGTGGGGGGGGATGCGGTAACTGGGCGATGGACATTAAGGATCGGCATGTGAAGTAATCAACCGGGTACTGTGTATGTAACTGATGAATTCTATCTCAAACTAGTAATATAGTATATGTTAATTAAATTGATAGCTCTGTGATTAACTAGATTTTTTCCCCCCAGGCCTGTATGAGACCATTTAAAGTGATTAGAAGTTTATTAACTAGCATTCTCAAAGTCTTATCCTGTTTCAGATAGAAAACTTTTACAGCCCTTGGCAGGTCTATGGGCAACTCTCATCAAAAGCTGTTAAAAATCTGTTATGTAAAAAAAAATAATAAAAATAATTAAAAAAAATAAAAGTAACTAAAAATCTGTTACATCCCAAGTCAAGAATGTGTCTGAGGTACTAATGATGGTAACATTCTTCTGGGAGAAAAATAACCAGTTTTATTTTGTAATTGTGTCTAGGGATAGTTACATGTACTTCCTGTAGCATTTACTTCAAGTGTACTTACACCTCTGAAAATTTTTATCTTTTTTTCCCCCTACAAACCACTGTTAGATGGAGATGTAAAGTTGACCTTATCTCTAATTTACAAGTGAGGAACTGAAGTTAGGAGGGTCTGTGGACTTGCCAAAAGTTACATGAAAAGCAAAGGGAACTCAAAGCTATAATCATTTCATTAAAGATTTTATTTATTAATTTGAGTGAGCGAGCAAGCGAGTGAGCACGCGGCGGCGGTGGGGAGTGAGCATGCACAGTGGGAGGGAGAAGCAGACTCCCCACTAAGCAGGTAGCCAGACATAGAGTTTGACCCCAAGACACCAAGCTTATGACCTGAGTTGAAATCAAAACACTTGACTGAGCCACCCAGGTGTCCCAAAACTAGAATCACTTTGGCTCATCCACCTGCTGAATGCTTTTACTGAGCTGGGCTTCTCCATCACACCCACGGCACACAAGTGATGCAAGACTGAACGGTCCTACGAAACTCGTAGCTGTCCACCAGGCTGTTTTCCACTTCCAGGAAACACTATTTTAGAAACAAGGATTTCTCTTTGGTGTTCTATGTCCTGGTTTATACCGATGGACATTATATTTTTGGTCATCTTGTTTTCCTGTTACCCTGCCCATTCTTTACTATTATAAAATCATTTTGTTATCCTTTTAAAAATGTCACCTTAGAAAAAAAATCTCCATCTATGTTAATGTTAATAATTATTTTGTTGCTCCAGTCAGAACTACGAAGTAAAATCATGTTATGGATACAATTTTTTTTCTTTCTGAAGGGATACAGGAAAGTTTTGCTCACCTAATTTTAAAATTTTGAACACAAAATACAGCTTTATTTAAATAAATACAGAAGCAGAGAAACAGGAGAAAAAAGTCAAAAAGGGAAAAAGAAACATTAGAGTAAAGCTCTTAAATTGGTCCACCTAATCACAGCCTTCCAGAAGGATAGAGGTTAGGTTTCAAATGAACAATTCACAACTCTCACTTTTCAGCTATACTTATCAAAGCAATAATCATCATTAAATGTTAAATATAGAAAGGATCATAATTGTGTACTAAAATACAGAGATCACAGAACTACCTTAAAATACAAAGAAAATATTTTTATTTGTATAACAAAGACTGAGAAATGACATAATCAAGTTAATAGAACTGGTGTCAAGACACGTAGGTTCGAAAAGGTATCGATGAGTAGGAACTCTGTTTCATCCAACCTTCGCTCAATTACGGAACATTTCTGATACACTCCTGACTGAATCTTAGGTGTGATGTGTCCCGATGACTCAAAGATGATTCCCTTCAATTAGTCCTCATTATCTTTCTTTTTTTTCTTTTTCTTCTTTTTCTCTGGACTCTGAAAGTAACAAATAAGAATGCTTTGAAAGCGCTGTAAATGTATGGGTGAGGAACAGTAACTTTATAAGAAGCGAAGTAGATCAATTTCCCTCAAAAACAAATTTGGTGAACGATTAAGACCTAAAAATATAAAAATCACCTCTCTGAAAATCTGTATCAAGTTATATTCTCTCTTCCTCAAAGTAAACCCATTTTGTAGTAAGATTTTAGGTTTGGCCTTTTTACAACATCATTTTTATTCTACTGTTCCATCAATAAAAACCACCTCAACTGCCTGCTCATTTCTAATACAGACAGTTCAATAAAATAGAAACCCGGCCTGCGCCAACAAAGTATTAAAAACAAACATACAGGAATTGCTGTGCTGGTGCATGGTTCTTCCTCAGAAAGTGGTTCTTCCTTGATATGTTTCTTTTTGTCCTTCTTTTTCTTCTTCTTCACAGATGTCTCCTGTTCTTCTACCACTAGTACTCCTTCTTCTTCTTCTTCTTCCTCTGTTGCTACTGGGGCTTCTTCAACTGAGTGGGGTTAAGTATAGACACAACAATTAACATTATATCAGACCTCACTTTCCCACCTTGCAAATCTCAGTTTTTTCCCATCATTCTGATTGACTATCCAATGTTTATTATAAAATTCTTTAAGTGGAAAGGTCCTTCAAACACCTACCTAGTCCAAGATCACTAACTTTATGAAGTCATGCAGCTATCTACGGAAATTAGGATCGAGACAGATCATTGGATCTCCAAACTCAATGTTTTTTGGCAGTTGTCACTTTATTAGAAAGGATTAAGAATTTGTGCTCTGGAAGGGTGCCTGGTTGGCTCAGTGGGTTAAGCATCTGCCTTTGGCTCGGGTCATGATCCCAGGGTCCTAAGATTGAGTGCTGCTTCAGGCTCCTTGCTTGGCGGGAAGCCTGCTTCTCTCTCTCCCTCCACCTGATGCTCCCCCTGCTTGTGCTCTCTTGCTCTAACAAACAAAATCTTAAAAAAAAAAAAAAAAAAAAAGTGTGCTCTGGAGTTAAAAGACCTGGGTTTGTTTCAACCTGTTGTGACCCTGAGAAGTCACTGAGTTCTCTAAACCCCATTTACTGCCCATCTTACCAGATTTAACAAGATAACGTATCTTGCTTGGCTCTTAAGAATAAGGACTTAAAAAAAAAAAAAAAAAAAGGACTCCATAACATATACATATCACTAGAAACTCGTTCACCAAAAAATTTATTTAGCACCTACCAAGTGCCAGGCTATATCCTAGACAACTGGACACAACAGGACATAAAACAGACAAATCCCTGTCCTTATGTAGCCTTTTTTTTTCAAGGACTGGAGGGAATAAAAGAATAACTATATAATATTTTACACAGTAATCTGTGCTAAGAATGAAAATAAGGCAGGAAGAGGAACACTGAGGAAGGCAGTGCATGCGGGTACTTCAGACAGGACAGTCAGTCAGGCAACACCTGGAAGAGGCAAAGGAGAGAAAAGATGGCACCTGTCTTGAGGCAAAATACTCCAGGTAAAGAGAAAAGCAAAAGCTAAGGTTATTTTGGAAGAGGAGGAGCGTTGGCAGGATCAAAGAATAACGAGGAGGCCAGTGTGGCTAAAAGGAGTAAAACTGAATGAGAGAATTAATGGGGGGTGTGCCCTTGTGGCTGCTACATTAAGAAAAGCAGTTGTGGATAAGGCAAGTGGTTATATTCTGGATATATATTTTCAAAGCAGAACTGCATTGACAGGATTTGTTGCCAGAATAGGGGCACCTGGCTAGCTCAGCTGGTGGAACATGTGACTCCTGATCTTGGGACTTTTTTAAGTTTGAGACCCAAACGGGAACAGAGTTTACTTAAGAAAAATTTACCAAAAAAAAAAAAAAGAGGATTTGGTGCCAGAGTAGATTTGGGTTCTAAGAAAACAGTCAAGGTTAAAGGCTAAAGCAACTAGAACTGCCATTAGTAAGACAGACAAATTTGTGGAGCAACAGACTGAGAGTGACAAGGACATAGGAATGTTAAGTTTGAAACATTTACTGGATGTCCAAATGAAGACACTAGAGTCTGCTGTTTCAAATGCTACTAATGGGCTTAGGGATCACCTCACTGTTCAATAAACAAAGAGAAACATAGGAGTTAAATAGCTGTTTATGTTGTCTTCAGCCTGGGCAGGAACCCACATTTGCTGATAATATACTTTTGACCACTAAGCTATTTAGAAACCAAACTCAACAAAGGTATTGTTAGTAAATGGGGTTACTTGCTTATCAGCTTTGCAAGATAGCTGAGTTCACTGGAGAGTAACTATTAAATATTATTACTATAATGGTAGGTTACCAATGTTATTACTCTAGTCCATTCTATGTAACAGAAAACAATATAACAAAAATATTTTGGCAACTAATTTAAAAACCATGAACTTTTTTTCTTTTTAAGCTAATTACCAAAATAGTTCACGTGGTAGAAACTAAAGTTTGGTAAACTTAACATAATACGTGATTCCATATTTTCAAAGAAATGCTTCTCACACTCCTCTATGAAGTCTGATAAATTTAATACCTTAACTGTTATCAAGGAACATGACAATGGCTTATTAAAACACCATTAACTTTCAATATGGGTGGTTTCTCAATAAAGTTCAATGGCATATACTTCCCCAAGACACACGAAGTCTTTCTTAAAGAATATGAATATAAACAATATTTAAAAAATTCAAACTGACCTTTAATTTTAACCTTGGCTTTTTTGGCCTTCTTTTCAACAATTTCGTCTTCTTTATCTACCTGTTCTATCTTGCGTTTTTTAGAACAGGCTGGCAGTGTGGAATCACCAGAAGGATCATAAGTCTTTACTTCACTGTAAGAGTCAAAGAATTATAGAAAATCTCTATAAATACTTATAAATGAAATAATTCTAAGGTAGTTTAAAAGAAATGCCATTAGATAATACTTACATAAGCATATAATACTGTTTCATTTTAGTGGTTTTGAGGCAGTTTATGAAAACTAGTAATTTCCAAAAGGTAAGGAGGTATCAATCACTATTTTCCACGTAAGTCAATCACACTTCAAAGGAAGTGGTGAGCTAAAATGAATTCTCATTTAGTAATCAATGTGATGACTGACTATGGTATAGAAAAACATTCAGTCGGGGCGCCTGGGTGGCTCAGTGGGTTAAAACCTCTGCCTTCGGCTCGGGTCATGATCCCAGTGTCCTGGGATCAAGCCCCGCATCAGGTTCTCTACTCAGCGGGAAGCCTGCTTCCTCCTCTCTCTGCCTGCCTCTCTGCCTACTTGTGATCTGTCTGTCAAATAAATAAATAAAAATCTTAAAAAAAAAAAAAAAAAGAAAAAGAAAAACAGTCAGTATGGGGAAAAACAAAATTTCTTTACAACAAATGATTATTTTAGAAATTAAAAACTGAAGCAATTTAAGTTTTAGAAATAGGGTAATTCAGGGGCACCTGGGTAGCTCGGTTGGTTGAGCGATAGCTTTCGGCTTAGGTTATGATCCCAGAGACCTGGGATCGAGTGCCGCATCGGGCTCCCAGCTCTGCAAGGAGTCTGCTTCTCCCTCTGACCTTCTCCATTCTCACGCTCTCACTTTGTCTCTCAAATAAATATATTCTTTAAAAAAAAAAAAAAAAAAAAAAAAAGATTCCCTAAAAGCCTACATTTGCCTTTGTTCTAATGTAGCAGAAAAAATTTTTCAGAAAAAACTGAAGCACTAAGTGCCTAAAACAAGAATAAATCTCCTAATTGGTGCTTCAAGTACATGTCTTTAAAGTTAAAAGTAGCGTGCTTGCTTCGGTAGCACATTTACTGAAGTTAAAAGTAGGGCGCCTGGGTGGCTCAGTTGTTAAGCGTCTGCCTTAGGCTCAGGTCATGATCCCAGGATCCTGGGACAGAGCCCCACATTGGGCGCCTGGGTGGCTCAGTTGTTAAGCGTCTGCCTTAGGCTCAGGTCATGATCCCAGGATCCTGGGACAGAGCCCCACATTGGGCTACCTGCTCGGCAGGGAGCCTGCTTCCCCCTCTCCCACTCCCCCTGCTGTGTCTCTTCTCTGTCACTAAATAAATAAAATTAAAAATAATAATAATAAGGTCAAAAGTACAATGGCATGAGAACATTAAAAAATTGTTCAAAACAAGCTAAGGAACGTTTCATTTCTTAAGTTTATTTGTAGAGTCATGTCTGCTTAATTTTTACACATTAAAAACATTAATTAAAAAAAAAAAAAAAAAAAAGATCCAGGGGCGCCTGGGTGGCTCAGTGGGTTAAAGCCTTTGCCTTCAACTCAGGTCATGATCCCAGGGTCCAGGGATCGAGCCCTGCATCTGGCTCTCTGCTCAGCAGGGAGCCTGCTTCCTCCCCTCTCTCTGCCTGCCTCTCTGCCCACTCGTGATCCCTGTCAAATAAATAAATAAAATCTTTAAAAAAAAATAAAATCCACACTTATCAAATAAAGACACCAAATTCAACTTTAAACATTACAAAATATATATATATACAATCATTGTTGAAAACTTGGAAAATTCATAAAACAAAATGTTAATGCCCACAGAACGCTTCTGCTTTCTTTCCAGAATAAAGGAAACAATTTTTCTAAATACATGTTTAAATATATATATATATATATATATATATATATATATATATATACACACACAGTAAGATTGTTACTCCTTTCCCAGTTTAAAAGCATACTATTAAAATTCTTTTTTTTTTTAAAAGATTTTATTTATTTATTTGACACAGAGAGAGATGTCAAGTAGGCAGAGCAGCAGGCAGAGATAGAGGGCAAAGCAGGCTCCCTGCTGAGCAGAGAGCCCGATTCGGGCCTGACCTCAGGACCCTGAGATCATGACCTGAGCCAAAGGCAGAGGCTTAACCCACTGAGCCACCCAGGTGCCCCTACTATTAAAATTCTTAAGGAATTACAGGAGTCCTAAGGGAAAATGTATGGGTTAATGCTAGAAACATTTTAAAGGCTCCTGTACATACTGTCAAACCACTTCTCAGAAAAGTTGCGCCACATTGTACTTCATCATCAGAAACTTAGTAGTACTGAACATCACCTCAAATAGCCACAATACCTCTCCCTACACGTATCTTTTGTTTCATGGTGAGGTTTGAATACTTTACTATTATGCCTTTTAGCTATTTTCAGACTTTTCTGTCTTTAGGTTTCATTGTGAATTAACGAATTGATTTTCTTTTTGACAGATGGTATACTATACAGAAGCTATGAATGACAAATATTTACTATCAACACCCGAAAATGAACTAGTTAAATATTAAGAAGGGAAAAAAAAAGCCAAGGGGCACTGGCTGGCTTGGTTCAAGGAGCACATCACTCCTGATCTTTGGATTCTGAGTTTGAGCCCCATGCTGGGTACAGACATTACTTAAGTAAGAGGGAAAAAAAGAGAAAATCCAAAATATATACTATGTATATATTTATTACAATATAAAAATGTTTGTGATTAAAAATTCAAAATATGGAAAATTATAAATAGCAAAGAAAAATAGGACACTGAAGTGTTTACATTTTATTATAAACACTGCAGCTGTCAATTAAAATTTCATCAAGCAGGTACTGCTCACCCATCTTCCCCAAATGTACTCACCTTTTATGTTCATATTTTTCTGTTTTTGCTAATGCTTTTCCCGTTCCACTTATTTTCCTTATCTAAGAAAAGATATCAATTCTTAGTAAATACAAGGGTAACTGTTTAACAGCAGGGAAAAAAACATAATTAGACATGGTAATATTAATCATTAAAATAAAACTGCTTAGTAGGTCAAATGAGTAAGTACATAAACCAGTTGAAGTTTATTCATTTTTGACAGCTAACATTTCTACCAATAGGCAGGATATGGTCCTTACCCCTCTATCTTCCAAGGTCCTCAACCTGGCCTCTAATTTGGCTCGGTTCTCAACTCCCATCGCAGAACTGGAGTCTTCACCAAAAGCATCATACCGAATAGCCAGAACAGTTTTGGCTGCCAGCATTCGAGAAATCTGATAGAGAACTTGAAGTTAGAGGCACTCAAACTATATTCCAAGTTGAGACATTAAAATCCTCAATAACTTACTCATAAGAAAACTGGAGCACATCATCAACTCTATCACTCACTGTAGGATTTTTTTAAGTCAGAAATTATAAAATTATTATGAATCATACAACCCAAGCCACCTAGCTCTATCTGAATCTCTCAGTGGCTAACTGGTTACACACAACTCCATTCACTTTGTTGGGTGAGATGATCCTGCAGTAGTTCACATCTAAAACAAGCTCAAACTATCCTTCTGATGTCTTCCTTTAATTTCTACTCAATGGCCTTAGTTCTACACCATGATGTCATCTGGAAAAGGCACAACCGCCCTTGTAAGCTAATTAACATTTTTTTCAGCCCCTTTCATCAATCAGCTCTGAATTTTGTAACATTTCAAGTTTTTAACATTTCAACTTGTTAAATTATGTGCCCTAAGCAAAAAGCTTACAAGTACTTAAAGTGCCAAAGACTCAGTTTTCTCTTTTTTTTTTTTAAAAAGATTTTATTTATTTGTTTGACAGAGAGAGATCACAAGTAGGCAGAGAGGCAGGCAGAGAGACAGGAAGGGAAGCAGGCTCCCTGCGGAGCAGAAAGTCTCATGCAGGGCTTGATCACAGGACCCTGGGATCATGACCTGAGCTGAAGGCAGAGGCTTTAACCCACTGAGCCACCCAGGTGCCCCAGACTCAGCTTTTTCATCTGTAAAACAGATACCCTACATCTCACAGGGCTATTAAAAGGACTCACTTAAGTCCCACTAAGAGTTGAGCACAGTGCATGGTTATTATTTTATAATTTATAAATGATGATGTTAAGTTGATTTCTTGCCACATAGAAAACTTTTGATGTGCCATCCACGCCATCCTTCACAAACAGATGGATTCTAGAAAAATCCTAATACAGCAAAAGAAAATGGGTTTAACAAAATTAGTAATACTTGGGACGCCTGGGTGGCTCAGTTGGTTAAGCCGCTGCCTTCGGCTCAGGTCATGATCCCAGCGTCCTGGGATCGAGTCCCACATCGGGCTCCTTGCTCAGTGGGAGCCTGCTTCTCCGTCTGCCTCTGCCTGCCACTCTGTCTGCCTGTGCTCACTCTGACAAATGAATAAATAAAAATCTAAAAAAAAAAAAAAAAAAAAAAAATTAGTAATACTTTATCTTATAAAAATATTAGTAATAATATATATATTTTTTTAAAGTAAGCTCTACACCCAACGTGGGGCTGGGAACTCACGACCCTGTAAGCAAGAGCTGCATGCTCTACTAACTGAGTCAGCCAGGCGCCCCCAGCAACACTTACTAATATTATTTTCTTTCAGTACACAAAAGTGCTTTTTAGCTCAAGAATTCATCATTCTCTATTTAATGAAAAAGAAAACGGAAAAATTTTATTGCATACCATAGAACAGGCAGAAGATGAGTCATCTGGGGGAAAAAAAGCAAAAAACCACCTGCCTCAGAAGACACACAACTCACCTTTCCTTTGTGCTTCGGACTTGTCTGGCCTACGAGTGAAGCATGATAAATGAGACCGTATTTGGGGGTATCTCGTCTAGACTTGAGGGCTCTGAAGAGTGCCTTTTCTGCTCCAAGAATCTGAACCGTAGAAGCTGCATGTTTGGCCAAATTCAAAAGAGAACCTTCCAAAAAAAAAAAGAAGTAGTTACAAGGAATGCAATTCCAAGTACTTAAAAGTTCCATGTATTAAGTGTAAGACATATAATCTTAGTATTACAGGCACTGAGTAAATAAAAATCTGACACAATACAGATTCCAGTCTGAGATTCCCTAAAAAGCCTCAGTGTCTGTGGTTCATTCACGGAGCAGCATAAGCAGAGGCTTACAGTGAACACTGAGGACGAACTGAAGGTTAAGCTTATTACTTCAATTATATACTTATTTGCCCCAGAGATGGTATTATACTATTCTATATTCCATTAGCATACCACTGAGGCCTTTAGACATCAAATATTCTACTTTAGATATGAAAAAAAACATACAATCAGAGGGACACTCACAGGACATCTCAACAGTATCACTATGCGTTAACTTTCTCACACTCTTATCTGTTGTTTAAGATACGGATGAGGAGATAGAAGCATACTAATCAGGTATAAAAAGTCGCTGCTTTGTTAGATTTATCGCATAGATTTTGTCAGAACAGACCCCCAGTATCAATGCCCAACCACTAGATCCCTATTTAAAATTCAACAGACTTCTGTTAAGCCCTGCATCTCGTACCCCCAAAGTGTAGTTAAGGCTATGAAAATTTGGATGCAGAAAACAAAACCAACCAGACAATCCCAGCCTCACAGCTGAGGGCATCTGAATGGCCTGTCTGTCGGATTAATGATGTCGTTAGAGGGGCTATTCTAGTTTAGATACTTTGATATAGAGGATATTTTATGATCTTCTGTGACAGATTTTAACGATTAACTCCAATAATATAATAGTATTTCACTCTATTTGCGAATATTCAATTATACAGTATATTTTTATAGCGTACCTTCTTTGTAACATCACCATATACATACATGAAGTCTTATTATAAATTCATTAAAAATATTTTGCATGTCGAATACATTAAAATAGCAAATTCAGCAGTGAACCAGATTCTTGATCAAGGGTATGTATCACCTGTTGTGAGAACTACTGCTATTTAATCTGATGATTTTTTTGTTTTGTTTTGTTTTAGAGGGGTGTGTGTGCGGGGGGACAGCAGAAAGGGAGAGAGAGAATCTTGAGCAGGCTCCATGCCCAGAGTGGAGTCCAATGCAGGGCTCAATCTCACAATCTTGAGATCATGACCTGAGCCAAAATTAAGAGTCAAGCACTTAACCAACTGAGCCCCTAATCTGGTTAAATTTTTAGTATTAGGAAATATCAACTGATTTCATTCTCCTGCATTCATCTGATTATTCTCATTAATGGTAATAAACTTCTGACAACGGACCACAAGTGTCTCAGAAGAGGTAGTGACTGAAGATGCCTTCATTATCCAAAAGGAAATCAGGCACAGTTATCAGAATCATCACTGAACACTTACTTGGTCCTTAGTCCTCTCCCATATACCATCTACTTATATTTATTACCTATAATTTCTAATCAACGTAATTTGAAGATGAAAAAATAATCCTAGGTAGAAAATAATCTACTCTAGGTATCCCTATTTATAGGTTACATTAAAATCATCACCTGCATGAGCAATGAGCCGTGCTCCCACTAATTCCCCAACCATGACTGTAACATTTGGTGCAATGGCCATCATTCGATTTTGTAGATATTCATAGAGCTGGGTTCTATATTCTGAGATTTCAATTACCTAGTATAAGGAACAAGATGAATATACCATAAATGACTTGTGTAAAAATCACATAAAAACCACATGTCTGAAAACACTGGAGCCCTAAACTGTCATAGATAAGCTGTGTAATCCTGGGAAAACAAAGTATCCTTTCTCTCAGCTTCCCATTTTCATAAATTTTATGAGATAATAAATGCAATCAACCTAATATATTGCTTAAAAATACTAGTCAATATTACTGTTATTTTTAAAAACTCTAAGGGCTAGACATTATGTCATCCTCTCTGTGATTCTTTTTTACGTGTGTGATTCTTTTTTTAAAGATTTTATTAAGTAATCTTTACACCCAACATGGGGCTTGAACTTACAACCCCAAGATCAAGAGTCACATGCTCTACTGACTGGGCCAGGCTCCTTTTTGTGATTCTTCTTCAGTGCTCTCCAAATGGGGTGTGGGGGCGGGGAGAAGCATTCCAGGCTACAAACATAAAGGCTGGAATTAAGTAACTCAAGCTGTATTTCTGTTCCCTTAAGGGATTCATAATTCATTATCCAGACAATGCTAGTATAAATAAATTAGATAATCTTCTTTCAACTTACTTCAGTATGTATTTCCCCCCTAAAGTATATAAATCAAGATGGCATCAGATGAGGTAGTGACTGAACACCCTCATATTTATCAGGTGGATCAAGTATAAAAATCATCATCGCCATCAGAAAGTTATTATTACATAGCCAGTCCCACCACAACTAGTTTCCCCATGTGTACAGTTTACCTGAGTGCAGAGATGCAGAATATTGCAAATATCTTCTTCTGAAACCTCTGTTCCCATTGATATCTCTGCAGCTGCTTTCACTTCCGCTTCAACTTCCTCTGGCAGTAGTTCAGAAAGTTTGGCTGAGGCATAATTCTTCCTATCGCCTACAGAATGTTTACAGAGGATGAGGGAGAATCACTCTTCAACAAATTATATAAAATCCAAATAGTCAAATAAAAAAAAGTAGAGGTAAGCCAATGAAAAAGGTGCCTAAACAAAACAAAAAGCGAACAAGTTTGACCTACTAATTTTCCTTATGCAAGGCTTGATTTTTAGAGATTAAAATCTCTCCCCATCATCTCCCTCTAAAAAGATATAAATTAGAATAAAAACAAAATACCCCACACAATAGAACTAATAACACTGTAACAGACAATTTATAGCTAAGGTTTTATTAAATCCAGGGCCATGAATTCTTGGGGCAGCAATATAAGCCTGGTAAATTCTATTTATTAACAATATTCAGGTTTTTCTACTAATATTACTGTACACTGGTATGGAATACAAACACTAACAGTATAGAGAGCAGTACCAACTTTAGTATTATAACATATGCAGGATATTCCAAGTCTACAGTTGCCCCTATTAATGGTAAATTCCCTATGAGATACATTCCACGTTAAGAAGCCATTTTAAGAGGGGCGCCTGGGTGGCTCAGAGGGTTAAAGCCTCTGCCTTCAGCTCAGGTCGTGATCCCCGGGTCCTGGGATCGAGCCCCGCGTCGGGCTCTCTGCTTGGCGGGGAGCCTGCTTCCTCCTCTCTCTCTCTCTGCCTACTTGTGATCTCTCTCTGTCGAATAAATAAATAAAATCTTAAAAAAAAAAAAAAAAAGAAGCCATTTTAAGAAAAACCAAATGAGATCCATGATCTCTTGCTGTACCCGCCCCTGAAGTCAAAGTTCAAGTTAAGGGTCTCTGAATTCTAATAGACCCTAATTTGACTATACTCCCAAAATACACACAAGGCATAAGGAACTCTGGGAAGCTTGTTAAGAAAAAATATTACAACTCATGTTTTGGGATGCAAATAAATTGTTATTTTCAATGCCTTAAAGGATAGTTACTCACCGACTTTCTGTAAACACTTGCAGTATGTCAGATTATCCGAAATAATTTTTCCTAATTCAGGGAAATGCCAGCCATACCATTCTCTACACCGCATGATATAGTTGTTTAGTTCTTTATCTAAGTCATCTAACAAGGCTGCAGTAGATTAAAATGAAAGAGAAAAGAGGAACATAAAATGGCTTTATAAAACTAAAATATACATAGAACTTATCATTTTAACCATTTTCAACTGCAGGTTTCAGTGGTATCAAGCACATTCACAATGTTATTTAACAATCACCCACTACCCATTTCCAGAACTCTTTCAGCATCCACAGGGAAACTCTGCACCCATTCAATAGTAACACCTCATATCCCCCATCTTCCCCCATCTCTTGGTCATCTCTTCTACTTTCGGTCTTTTATCAATTTGCCTGTTCTAGGTACCTCATAAGTGGAATCACACAACAGTTGTCTTTTTTGTATGGCTTATTTCTCAGCATATTTTCAAAATTCATCCATGTTGTAAACCTTTTTATGGTTTAAAAATAGTTATTATCTGGGATGGCTGGGTGGCTTAGCAGTTTAAGCAGCTGCCTTTGGCTCAGGTCATGATCCTAGGGTCTTGAGATCAAGTCCCACATAGGACTCCTTGCTCAGCAGGGAGCCTGCTTCTCCTTCGGCCTGCCACTCCCCCTGCTTATGCTTACACTCTCTGACTTAAGAATAAATGTTTTTAAAAAAAAAAGTAAAAATAAAAATTATCCATTGTGTGAATGGGCCCCATTCTGTTTATCTATTCATCTGTTATGGGTATTTAGGTGGTTTGCATTTTTTGGCTATTGTGAATAACGCTGCTACAGACACAGGTGCGTATCTATCTGTGAGTACCTGCTTTCGGTTCTTTGGAGCACATATCCAGAAATGTAATTGCCATCTAAAGGGATTTTTAAAAGTGGAAACAAGGATTTGAGGTTTCCAAAATTCACTTAATGGCACAGGACTGACCTATTATAAAGCCAAGTGTAAAAAGCACAAAGCAATAGATCCCATGTATTGATCTGCCTCATGGGAAACAAATCTGTTAACATCACTAGTGTTAATTCACATTATCTCCAACTAGTCAAATTACAGGTGGCTTGCCTTTTCTATTCTGCATTTTCTAGTTATTTACTTCACTATTAAAAATTCTAATTAATCTCCTTTTCCTTCCCCAACTGATAAAATTTTAAAAGATAGTTTTAATAGCAAAGTTATAAGGATCAGACATCATATGCACTATACTTACAAATTGCCTGAACAATCATGGTGTCCACTTTATCAGCACTGAATTTCAATCTGTATCGGGACAAGCTGGGGATAAAGGGGGAAAATAAAAAATTACTGACAGCATTACTGACGAAATGAGTTTATTTATTTATTTATTATTTATTTATTTGACAGACAGAGATCACAAGTAGGCAGAGAGGCAGGCAGAGAGAGAAGAAGAAAGGAAGCAGGCTCCCACAGAGCGGAGAGTTATGTGGGGCTCGATCCCAGGACCCCGGGATCATGACCTGAGCCGAAGGCAGAAGCTTTAACCCACGGAGCCACCCAGGCGCCCCCGAAATGAGTTTAATTAACATCTTAAAAAACTTTTTATTTATATATTTTTAAACTTTTTTTTTTTAAAAGATTTTATTTATTTATTTGACAGAGAGATCATAAGCAGGCAGAGAGGCAGGCAGAGAGAGAGGAGGAAGCAGGCTCCCTGCTGAGCAGAGAGCCCGATGCGGGGCTCGATCCCAGGACTCTGAGATCATGACCTGAGCCGAAGGCAGCGGCCTAACCCACTGAGCCACCCAGGCGCCCCTATTTTTAAACTTTTTAAAAACCCAAATCCCTAGGTGCACCTGGGTAGCTCAGTCGTTAAGCATCTGCTTTCAGCTCAGGTCATGATCCCAGTTCCTGGAATCAAGCCTTGCACCGGGCTCCCTGCTTAGCAGGAAGCCTGCTTCTCCCTCTCCCACTTCCCCTGCTCGTGTTCCCTCTCTCATTGTGAGTCTGTCAAAAACAAAATAACAACAAAAAAAAACCCCACAAAACCCCCCCCACATCCTTCTCCTTAGAGCTACATTAATTTTCCCAACATAGGAAAACCAGTTGAATGAGAATACAATGTGCAAACTAGGAAATACACACTTAAAAAGCAAATACAAGGACGTCTGGGTGGCTCAGTTGGTTGGGCATCTGCCTTTGGCTCAGGTCATAATCCCAGGTCTCTGGGATCTAGCCCCACATAGGGCTCTCTGCTCCACAGGGAGTCTGCTTCTCCCTCTGCCCCTCCCCCTCACTCAAGCTTGCTCTCTGAAATAAAATCTTAAAAAAGAGAATATACGTCCTGCTATAACCCATGTTCCTGAAATATGAATTAATTTGTGAAAGACAAACAGGATAATGCTGTGTAGTACAAATCACATTGGTCCATATACAATGTTTACAGGGTTTCAAGGATACCAGCAGGTAAATAAATGTGTAGCATTAACACCTGAAAACAGAAAGATATGGAGGAACAATATTATACATAAGGTTTTCCTAATCTTGGCACTGTTAACAATGTAGGCCTGATAATTCTTTGTTGTAGGGGCCTATTCTGTGAATTGTGGATGTTTAGTAATATTCTTGTCCTCTACCCATTATGTTAGTAGAGATCTGACCCCACCTGTAACAGCCAAAAATGTCTCTAAACATTGCCAAATGTCCTCTGATATTTAACTGCCCTTGAATGAGAACCACTACTGTTATACAATGTCAATTAATCACAAGCTTGAATCTTCACTCAGCTTAGCTGCTTGTGTGCTCTTAAAAATGCTTATTACAAAGTTATTGATTTTTATGTATTTTGCTCATCTTTGTAACTCAGCAGCTTTAACCCTTCTGTTAACTGATGCTATTTTTTGTCCAAAGGTACAGACCTCTGCTTGTTTTGTTATTCCTTTAACATAAATGTACACATCTTTCTAACTGCATTAGTACGTAGCGCTAGTTTTGACAGTGCTCCAGTTATAATGTCACATAAGTTCCCAGAAGCCCACCTTTAACCCTATTTTTCCTCACTTAAAAACCCTGTTATTGGGGCACCTGGGCGGCTCAGTGAGTTAAGCCTCTGCCTTCGGCTCAGGTCATGATCTCAGGGTCCTGGGATCGAGCCCCGCATCGGGCTCTCTGCTCGGCAGGGGGCCTGCTCCCCAGCCCCCTCTGTCAAATAAATAAATAAAATCTTAAAAAAAAAAAAAAAAAAAAAACCTGTTATTTTAGTGCAATTTCACAGAATGCCAAGCTTTTCAGAACATATCACAGCTCAGCAGAAATGCGGTTCTGATGGACCTCAGATTAAACACGATAGGTCAATTTGCTTCTCTTTGCCTTACTATAAAAAGTCAATACAAATCAGAATAAAACAACAGATACAGACAGAAGACCACAGCAGATGAGAAGATTTGGGGAGATGAAGAGATGGAAGAATACCAAATGATTCAGTTAGAGATTAGGGAAAAGAGAAAGCCCAAGAATTGTGGGGCCCAACACTTGAAGGATAGAGAATATCTATGACGAATCTGCCTGGGCTCCAATCCAGGCTTCATTACTTACCAGGTGAACTGATTTTGGGCATCAGATTCATCTATAAAATGAGGATACCACTACTACCTTCTTCAAAAGATTATTGAGAATTAAATTAGTATTTTAATATGCTTAAACCAGTGCAACGCAGCTGCTTACTAAACAGGAGTAAGTGGACTTTCTTCTCCAGTAAATCTCACCTGTGTGCCAATCCAAGACACATAGCTGCCATTTCACGTGGTTCTACACCAGGGATTAATCCATCCATCTGGGAACGGATTCCTCTCATAAGTTCATTAACAACAGGACTATGGATACAACTGAGATTCAGCTTTTCCTGTAAGAAGAACATCTGTATTAATGAAATAGAAGTTTTGTACACCTAGGGGACTCAGGTCATGATCACGGGTCCTGGGATTGGACCACTGGGTTCCCCGCTCAGCAGGGAGTCTGCCTCTCCCTCTGTCCCTCCCCCTCACTCATGCTCTCTCTCTCAAAATAAACTTTTTTTTTTCCTGAAGATTTTATTTATTTGACAGAGAGAGAGAGAGAGACAGTGAGAGGGAACCTGATGCATGACTCGATCTCAGGACTCTGGGATCATGACCTGAGCTAAATGCAGATGCCCCCAAAATAAAGAAAATCTTTAAAGAAAGAGAAATAGGGATGCCTTCGTGGCTCAGTCGGTTAAGTGGCTGCCTGCAGCTCAGGTCATGCATGATGCCAGGGTCCTAGGATGGAGTCCCACATCAGGCTCTTTGCTCAGCAGGGAGCCTGCTTCTCCCTCTGCTGCTCTCGATGGTTCTGCTGACAAATAAATAAAATCTTTAAAAAAAAAAAAGAGAGAGAGAGAGAGAAAAATTACAGTTTTGGGGATACCTGCTGGCTCAACCACTTAGGCATCTGCCCTCAGCTCAGGTCATGATCTCAGGGTCCTGGGACAGACCCCCTGCATCGGGCTCTCTGCCCAGCAGGGAGCATGCTTCTCCTCCTCTCTCTGCCTGCCTCTCTATTTGTGATCTCTCTCTTTGTGTCAAATAAGTAAAATCTTTCTCTTCTGTTTTTATTTTAAGAACACAGTATCTAACACATGTACAAAATATGGGTTAATCAGCTATTTACGTTATTGGTAAGACTTCTGGTCAACAATAGGCTTTCAGTAGTAAAATTCTGGGGGAGTCAGAAATTATACACAGAATTTTTTTAAGATTTTATTTGGGGCGTCTGAGTTGCTCCGTGGGTTAAGCCTCTGCCTTCAGCTTAGGTCATGGTCTCAGGGTCCTGGGATCAAGCCCCGCATCAGGCTCCCTGCTCAGCGGGGAGCCTGCTTTCTCCCTCTCTCTGCCTACTTGTGATCTGTCAAATAAATAAATAAAATATTTTTTAAAAAAATTAAGAAAAGATCTTGGGGCACCTAAGTGGCTCAGTTGGTTAAGCCACTACCTTCCATTCAGGTCATGATCCCGGAATCCCAGGATCGAGTCCTGCATCAGGCTCCCAGCTCTACAGGAGTCTGTTCTCCCCCCTCATACTCTCTCTCACTCTCTCTCTCTCTCTCTCTCACATAAATAAAAAATCTTACAAAAAAAAAATCTTATCGGGAGCCTGGGTGGCTCAGTGGGTTAAGCCGCTGCCTTCGGCTCAGGTCATGATCTCAGGGTCCTGGGATCGAGTCCCGCATCGGGCTCTCTGCTCAGCAGGGAGCCTGCTTCCCTCTCTCTTTCTCTCTCTCTCTCTCTGCCTGCCTCTCTGTCTACTTGTGATCTCTCTCTCTCTCTCTCTGTCAAATAAATAAATAAATAAATCTTTAAAAAAAAATCTTATTTATTTGTAACAGAGAAAGAGAGAGCGCACAAGCAGGTGGAGCAGCAGGTAGAGGGACAAGAAGTAGGATCCCCGTCCCTAAAATTTAATGTTTTTGTTTTTTTTTTTTTTTTTTTTTTTAACAGAAAATTACAAACTGGGCACCTGGGTGGTTGTCTTTAAGTGTCTGCCTTTGGCTCATGTCATGATCCCAGGGTCCTGGGATTGAGCCCCACACTTAGTCTCCCTCTCCACTCACTCCTTCTGCTTGTGTTCCCTCTCTCACTGCATCTTGCTCTGTCAAAAAAAAATTTTTTTTTAATCTTAAAAAAAAAAAAATTACAAACTAAGAATTATGGGCAGTTCAAAGAATGAGGATAGACTGCATCATCACAGAAAACTTCATTACTCACCAGAGAGAATTAGAAATAAATTTAACTGAACTTTTTTTTTTAATATTTTATTTATTTATTTGACAGAGATCACAAGTAGGCAGAGAGGCAGACAGAGAGAGAGAGAGAGAAGCAGGCTCTTGGCTGAGCAGAGAGCCCGATGCGGAACTCGATCCCAGGACCCTGAGATCATGACCTGAGCCGAAGGCAGCGGCTTAACCCACTGAGCCACCCAGGCGCCCCTTAACTGAACTTCTTAAATTCACAACCCTGACCGAAAAAAACAGCCTCTCAAATGTCCTTAGCATTTTTCTACCTAAGAAGACATACAACAGGGGCGCCTCGGTGGCTCAAGGAGTTAAAGCCTCTGCCTTTGGCTCAGGTCATGATCTCAGGCTCTCTGCTCAGCAGGGAGCCTGCTTCCTCCTCTCTCGCTGCCTGCCTCTCTGCCTACTTGTGATCTGTCAAATAAATGAATAAAATCTTTATTACAAAAACAAAAAAAAAAACAAAAAAACCTACAACATAATATAAATCCTACTTAAAAAATCAGAGGTATGCTCACTGTCCCTACAGTATTTACTATAACCACTGAAGATCAAACTATCACAACCAGCTTTCAAACTGTTTTGCTTTTTCATGCTTGGGAGCCCACTTTTCCAGTCTTTCCACTTTCATCTCCAGAGACTCTACCCCCTGCGAGAAAGTTTTCTAATAAAATACATACACTAAAAAGAAATGTCACGTCCTCATTTCTGTTGAAATTTCAGAAAAAGAAATGTGACTCAACAGAAACATGGCAGGATATACATAGTATTAAAAGATCTCTGGGTGGCAAGGTTAAAGCTAACTTTTATTACTTCTTGGGGTTATTAATTATTTTCTACAATGAACAGGCATTACTTGTATGTACTTAGTCCTGATAATCATATTGGAAATCAATTATTCTGTAGCATAGGGAGAAAAAAGATCATGTATGAGAACTTATAAGAAACAACTCAATACAAAGGCTACGCTTTGTCATTACTATGCTGTATGGGGAGCTCTGATGAGCAGGCACAAAAAACATAACTTACCTTTATGACCCCTCCTAGTTTAGCATCAGCTACAGCCAAGGGTTCATGGGCTTCTTTTACTATTTTCTTCAGAACTTTCTTCAGCTGCTTATTGATTTTGCCCTCCATCAGAGCTGTGAATGCTTTTGGGAAAAAGAAAAAACAAAAGAGTTAACTCTCAAGTTTTTTTAATGTTAAGAACTTCAAGATCTCATTTAAACTTAAAGAATAAAGGAAAATAAGCATTTCCTTTAAAAAAACTCTGAATTTAACACTACTTCTAAAATGAAATGATAAATGCAGTTAACAGTGAAGGAGTTACACATTCCAGTCTCATCCGATCTTCCACTCTCATTTCAGCTCCAGAACCAGAAGTTAAAAGCAGATCCAACATTCCTTGTGTCACATGAAATCTACTCTTGAATCCAGACAGAACTAGAATCATAAAATGTTAGAAACAACCTATCTTGGAATGACAAATAGATTCACTCTCCAGTGTCACTGAAGATAGACTGGCCTGATGCTCTGGGAAATATACTAAAATCCTGTCAAGACTGTGGTAAAAAGGAGGGTATTCATTTGGAAGGTCCTGCTGCAGTCTAAGCACGCCTGAGTGGAGGCTTTGCTAATTCCAGATCCAGATATGGCATCAGGCCTCTGCTTGCAAACCTCCAGTGATGGAGAACTCACTACCCAAAGGCAGGCTATTACATTTGGGACTGCTTTCATTTTTGGTAGGTTCTAAATCTGCAACTTTGTTAACTCTCACCCTTCCTTAGGCCTACACTTAGAATCTTCTGGACCTACATGGGTTAACATCTCTTCTGCTATATGTCAGAGTTTGGGCTGAATTTAAAGTATGCCTTCCAGGAAGAAGTAGGCCACATTTTCGAAGGCCAGGTAGTTAATCCTTTATCAGCCAGGTACCTTCTCTTTCCTCCTGACCACATCTCCATCCATTTGAGTTATAAGTCCATTTCATCTGTTATCTGGGAAGATGAATGGTGAGGACAAAAATCACCTAGCTACGACACAGCTCTTACAGAGGTCACCACATTCTAAGTAGCAGAGTCTCAAGCTACTTTTGTTAGGTTAAAACCTTTGATATACCATACTGTATAACACTGACTCCTTATAACCTACCTTTCTAGTAAGTTTCTATCTTTCTAGTAAAAGATGCCAGAAATGGTGACAAGGTAAAGGGGAAACTGAGTCTTGTACTTTACTAGCCACTTTTCGGCATCCCCTAGTAATCTTTCCACTTCATCCAAATGTAGGCTGGTACCAAAATTTTTTTCTTTTCTTTTTCTTTTAATTTTATTATTTGTCAGAGAGAGAGGTAGTACCAAAATTTTCTGCAGTATTTGAAAGACTTGCAACTTGAAAAATCAGACTGTGAAAATAAAGCTCTCCATACAAATGTATATCTGAACCTCTACGACCAATATAATTTTTTTTTTTTTGAAGATTTAGAGAGAATATGAAAGCAAGTAGACTCCACACGGATGCCAGCCAGCTCCATCTCATAACCTGAGCCGAAACCAAGAATTGTGTAGTTACCAACTACACCATCGATCTTGGGACCGTGAGTTCAAGCCCCATGATGGAAGTAGAGATTATTTAAAAATAATAATAATAATAATAAACCCTCCAGGCAAAAATTATCATAGTTGTGCTTTAATGGCTCTATGAGGCTTTAATTATTGACTTAACCGATAAAGCAGTCCTAGAACTATTTTACTTTTTTTATACTTTATTTATTTATTTGAACTATTTTTAAAAATTAAAAAAACTGGCCCCATATTTGGGTCTTCTTTCAGCTACCCTACTGCTAATGTTGGGGCAGCCCATTAATATTCCAGCATGTCTGATTACATTCCCAATTTTTACAAGAGAATTATACCCTTTTATTGGGGCTGATGAACAAAATTATTTGGGTCTGTGAAATTCCTAATTATATGCCATATTCTTCCTTATGGTCCTACATTTTCAAATTACACTGCCAAGCAGTTGGCTGATTTGATATACGGAATTAAAGCAGCTGAAAAATCCATATATCCAGTCTTCTTGTTTTTCCTAACGTTAAAAAAAAACAACCTTGAGACCAACTGCCTACTAAAGCCAAGCCTAGTTAGTAAACCCTATTGTCTGTTCCCCCATCTTGAGGACCGGTTGAAGGACAGGAGCCATCCATTCTTTATGTTCCCTTCGGATTAACTCTTCCCCCTAGGTGTAGTTTTTTTCCCCCTAGGTGTAGTTTTTGCATTAAAAACCAAACCAAACCATACATACAAAAGCCTACTAGTTTTCCTAAAGCTTTTAATAATAATGTGCGCATCTGTACTAAAAACATACTTTTGGAGAGCTGCTTTATTACTTCAATTGTGAACCCTAGCTATTCTCAACTTTACCCTTGGATTAAAATTATCAGAGAGCTATGTACTTGACTACATTACCTTGGTCCCTTGCAGTACAGCTTTTACTGAATTGTGCTTCAGCATTATGCTGTTGGCTTCCACAGGGAGATCAATTTAACCACTTCTCACCTCTCATCACATGGGGGGGAACAAACCCTATGGTGAAAAAAGCTAACTCAATGTTGTCTCAGTGGTAGTGACGAATTTGAGTTAGATCACTTACATTCAATTCCAGAAAGAATGCATCATTGACAACATTGAATAAGGTTAACTCAGGCAACTGAAGCAAATAATCTTTTGATAAGGATAATCAACTGACAAGACTGAAAACAAAACCAAAAAAAGCTAGTCTTTCACTTTACCTGCTAATGCTTCTGCTGTATCCTGAAATTTCTCAAAATGTTTTAGCTTTACTCTAGAAGGAAAAAAAGAAGAGTTACGAGGGCATATTGATTGTGTAAAAGCCACGTATTTAGGAAAAAGGTTTTGGACTGTTTCCAAAGCACGTACCAACAAAATAAACTTTCCCATCACTAGGCATCGGGGTGCAAAGTTAGGTAAATTCTTGAAACAACCAGTTTCTCTAAATGTTAGATGAGTAATGTCTGGACTGCTGCAGAGGTTGGAGACTTTGAAGGAAAATGAACATCAGCAAAGCGGTCTGATACCACATCCCGACCGCAGGAAAGATGCTGAAGCTTCAGCATCACCTCTGCTGCTTATGAAGCTGGACACACATCCTTGTATTACACAGAAAAGAAGAGACCTTAGAAAAGGTATTAAGAGTCCCTCCTAAGGGGCGCCTGGGTGGCTCAGTGGGTTAAGCCGCTGCCTTCGGCTCGGGTCATGATCTCGGGGTCCTGGGATCGAGCCCCGCATCGGGCTCTCTGCTCAGCAGGGAGCCTGCTTACTCCTCTCTCTCTCTGCCTGCCTCTCTGCCTGCTTGTGATCTCTCTCTGTCAAATAAATAAATAAAATCTTAAAAAAAAAAAAAAAAAAGAGTCCCTCCTAAGTCAGGAATCTCACAACACTGATTTGTCTATCTAGTACAAATGCTGTTAAGAAATAGCTTATCATCGGGGTGCCTGGGTGGCTCAGTGGTCTAAGCCTCTACCTTCAGCTTGGGTCATGATCTCAGGGTCCTGGGACCCCGCTTTGGACTCTCTGCTCGGCAGGGAACCTGCTTCCCTGCCCCCTCTCTCTGCCTGCTTGTGATTTCTCTCTCTCTGTGTCAAATAAATATATAAAATCTTAAAAAAAAAAAAAAGAAAGAAAGAAATAGCTTATCATCAAATCTGATTCTTGTTACCCTTATTTAGCCACCTTCCCCCCCATGCAGGGTATATGCAAGGTAACACGATTTTATATTGAAACAGAAATATACAATTAATTCATAATTCATTGTTGTCTCAGTGGTAGTGACGAATATTTGAGTTAGATCATTTATATTCAGTTCCAACAAGAATACATCATTGACAACAATGAATCAGGTTAACTCAGACAAATGAAGCATACAGCTCTTGAAAAAGAAAAACTAGTCTTCTATTATACCTAAAATAGTGGTGTTTTAAGGAAGATTTTCTTACCTGCCATGGAACAAAACCCCCCGGGGGGGGGGTCCCCTTAAATACACACTTAACAACACAACGATTTTAGGAAAAGCAGTAATTTCATCTTATTCTGCCTCACTTCACCTTTCTGAAATGGCATTTGTTCATCTCTCTCTCTGCTTGCATAAGAGCATATAGAGATATACAAGAATCCTGCAAAAATGGGATCCCATGATACAATCATTCTGAAGCATGGTTTCCTCAGTATACCACTGACCTCTCTCCAAGTCAGTAAGAGATCTACAGATATACTACTATTCAATAATTTCAACACTTGGGGCCCCTAGTCAGTAGAGCATGCGACTCTTGGATCTCGGGGTCATGGGTTCAAGCCCCACACTGGGGTTGATTAAAACAACAGGGGTGCCCGGGCGGCTCAGACAGTTAAGCGTCTGGCTCTTGATTTCCATTCAAGTCATGATCTCAGGGTTGTGGGATCAGGTCCCATGCCAGGCTCTATGCTCACCAGAGTCCGCTTGCCCTTCTCCCTCTGCTCCTACTGCCCCCACCCCGGCTCTCTCTCTAAATAAATAAAAATCTTAAAACCACCACCACCACCACTAACAAACACGAACAAAATGTTAACTGCTAAATTCTTAGTTTCAAGATGGCTTACATTTTATTTGCTTTCTCTGGAGTTTCAAATTCTTTCCACAAACTATCAACCTCTTGAAGTTTCTTCTCATTCAAAACCTGTAACAAATATTTAAATATTTTTATTTAAATGGGATCCTTGGGCATACATAACTACACACTTCAAGTGCAACTGCATATGTAAAATGAGTGTGGAAGCTATTTTTCTCACTGAAGTAACAAGACCGTTTTCTTATCCACCATAAAGTTTTGGTCAAATTAATACTGAGAAACTGAATGGAATTTAGCTGAGGTCTTTGATGAAAACTTCCTATTTTGAAGGAGCCACTAACCCCTTCACAAAGCCTATCATATTCACATAACATCAAAAGACTTCTTTTGCCTACTTTCTAGAATAAGGAATAAGTTTTATTTACTGCTAATGGATTTCTCTCTAAAACTAAGGTACCATCAATCCTAAGATATATCCTGTTATAAGAAAACTTAAAAAAGATAAAAAAGGGGGCACTTTACAAAAAAGTCATTAACATTTAGGTATATATAATCTTTAAGGCTTTTTGACTGTCAACATTTTATTTACACATACCTTTAGGAATCATACAATACCACTTAGCATAACATGGACACCATTCTAGGTTTTAACAACCTAGAACTGCACTGTATGAATATACCATCATTTTATGCCCTTACAGATGTTCAGGGTTCTTCTAAATTTTCCTTATTCTCCTTCGGAAAACAGTTTTGTATGTATATATGTTGTACTTCTATAAGACATATCTTACTGGAGGTGGAGTTAATCAGCCACGTGGGAAGCGCATTACTGTACATCTGACAGATGCCACCAAACTGCTTTCAAAAGAGTCTATTAATTTCACTTAAATCAAGAATTAATTAAACTTATTTCCCTATACTCCAATCAATACCCAATGTAGTAAGTCAACTGCCTAAGTATTTCACAGGATAGAATCAGTTCTAAAATGCACTTCCCCATACTTAACATTCTTAAAATTGGGATGCCTTATAATTGATGGGAGTAAGTTTAGTTAGCAGTGTAAAATAAGAGCATATTAAATTGGGTGAAATGAGGCACCTGGGTGGCTCAGTGGGTTAAGCCTCTGCCTTAGGCTCAGGTCATGGTCTCAGGGTCCTGGAATCAAGCCCCACTTCGGGCTCTCTGTTCAGCGGGGAGCCTGCACCCCCACCCCCCAACTGCCTGTCTTTTTTTTTTTTTTTTTTAAAGATTTTATTTATTTATTTGATACACAGAGATCACAAGCAGGCAGAGAGGGAGGAGGAAGCAGGCTTCCTGCTAAGCAGAGAGCCCGATGCGGGGCTCGATCCCAGGACCCTGGGATCATGACCTGAGCCGAAGGCAGAGGCTTTAACCCACCGAGCCACCCAGGCGTCCCTGCCTGTCTACTTTTGATGGCTGCCTGCCTCGCTGCCTACTTGTGATCTCTCTGCCAAATAAATAAATAAAATCTTTAAAAAAACAACTTGGTGGTGGGGTGCCTGGGTGGCTCAGTGGGTTAAGCCGCTGCCTTCGGCTCGGGTCATGATCTCAGGGTCCTGGGATCGAGTCCCGCGTCGGGCTCTCTGCTCAGCGGGGAGCCTGCTTCCCCCTTCCTCTCTCTCTCTGCCTGCCTCTCTGCCTGCTTGTGATCTCTCTCTGTCAAATAAAATAAATAAAAATCTTTAAAAAAAAAAAAAACAACTTGGTGAAATAAGATGCAAGTAGATATTATGCATGTCTTCTTAGGGGGGGAAATTCCAGCTGATAAAATTAAAAACTATACTGATAAACATTTCACCAAATCTGTATTATCACAGAATATTTACACAGTAGGATTTACTGCCCAGTTATAGTCTAGTACGTATTTTTGTTGATAAAGCATGAATACAACACTACAAATTGCACTTAATTTCTGTCAGGCAAGTGTGGCTGGAGGATTTTAAGGATCTGTTGTGTTGGTTAAATTCAATCACACACAGCTGAACTGATGTATTTACAGAACTTGAGAAGTTAGTTAAATCGATTTTAGCCCGGTATTGGGCTCCCTGCTCAGCGGGGAGCCTGCTTCTCCCTCTCCAGCTCCCCTGAGCTTGTTGTGTTCCCTCTCTCGCTATCTCTCTGTCATAAATAAATAAAATCTTAAAAAAAAAAAAATTACAAGCTGGGCCACCTGGCTAGCTCAGTCCACAGAGTATGCAACTTCTGAACTCAGAGCCCCATGATGTGCACAGAGTTTACTAAAAATAAAATCTTCACACATACTAAAAGTTACAAGCCACTAACAGTTCTATTTTGCCTATCATGAGAACTTTCCATTCATGAGAATCCAAAGACATTCCTCATGAATGCGCTGAAACATTAATTCAGTTATTTTCTGATAAAGGAAGTTCACAGAACAGTCCTGATTTTTGGAAATAGTTTATTCAGAGAATCCACTAACCATATCCAAAGTTCAGGAACTGTTGAGAGGATATGTACCAAACGGGATATGACTCATGAATAAAATTTACGTTTTTTCCTAGTTGAAAAACAAGTATATTTGTAGATAACATTTGGGTAACAATCGGCATATTCAAGAGATATTATCAGCATTCTTAAAGTAACAAAGGAAATGTAATGGAAACATTCATGACTACTCAAAGGTCTCCAAAGACACTGTTATGGCAGATAAAACCTTGGCACTCCCAATTGTGCTACAACATACCTAAGAGAAAATTACCAAAACAGTCTGAACAAAATAATTAGAAATAACTGCTACATTTCCTGAAAAATATGCCTCAAATTTTAGTCATTCATTTTCACACAAAGAAATCTGAAAACATTTGTATGCAAAGTCCATATTTCAGTCCATTTTGGATTAAGATGGAATTATCTCCACTTCCAAGCAGAAATGGTGTGTAGTTATTGACACTAAAATCTTAAGCACAGCAGCTACTGTTTGCTAGTTTTAATACTAGTCTTTATCTTGTCCATACTAGAGAGAGCAAGATGGAGTCACTCCTGTTAAGCAGTAACTTCTGCCAAGCAGCGGCACAAGCAACCAAGGGCATTGCAGCTAAGACCAAATACTGCCGAACCAGCACCGGCTGAGACCCACTCAGAAACTATAACCAGCAGAAACAAAAGTTTGCTAATCAAGACTGAATAAATCCCTTTTGAAATGAAAGATTTGCACAGCAAATTCGTCAAGACCTTTTTAAGCCTCTCACATCTGACCACATCAGAGAGGTAGCTGCCATGGAACGCAGTGCCCAAGTGACCTCTGAACAAAATATAGATTGTCTGGGTGCCTGGGTGGTTGGGCATCTGCCCTCAGCTCAGGTCATGATCCTGGAGTCCTGGGATCGGGTCCCACACTGGGCTCTCTGCTCAGTGGAGAGTCAGCTTCTCTGCCACTCCCCTGGCTCACCAGCGTGCACTTCTCTTTCAAATAAATAAATAAAAATCTTAAAAAGAAAAAAGGTCCTCCACTGCCTGAAAATAAGCAACTAGTGCTATGAGCTGACCTGGACCAGACCTAGGCCTTATTTCAACTGTGCAGTCAAAGACTGCATTAACTTCCTACCTCCAATTCCCCTTGTTCTGTCTTGTTTGCTGTTGTTGAGCTTTGCTGTGATGTGTAAGCCAAGTTAAGCAGGTAGTGAAATGTCATCATGTTTGGAGTCCTGCATTATAATCATACTAACTTTGCTTTAAAACTGAATAAAGCTAACATGCGGGGGGGTGACATTGTGGAAAGACACTTGGGTGTGCACCTTCACAGTGTACTCACGACACATACTTATTTACAGATAAAACTAAATGTGCAGGAATTTGCTTCAAACAATGTGGGGAGGCGAAGGGGAGAGCTGGCCCACAAAATGGGTCTGCTGAAACGGAGTGATGGTGTACATGGAGGTTCTTTATAATCTACCACTTGTCTCCTTGAAATTTTTCACAAAAAGAGTAAAACACAAACACAAATGCATCCACAGCATGCCAGATGTTCTTAGAGTATCTTCCTCCATTCCAGACAGGCATGAAATTTATAGAGGAAAGGGCACCCTATATCAAAAGTGTCCTTAATTTTCACTTAACTGCTTACTTTGAGATTTCCTATGTTTTATCTAAACATTCAAAGCTAAAATGCTAACTTTTTAGAGTTACTCCACAAACAAAAAAGGTAAGTACTGTTTTAGGAAACTTGAGTTGTACAGGACGACCTGGAATAGTTTCAAAAGCGAATTACTCAAAAAGGAACAGACTGATACATGCAACATGGATTAGCTTCAAAAGCAAGCTAAGTGAAAAAAGCCAGACACAAAAAAACTATTACTCCATTTACATGAAATTTTAAAAAATGACAAAATTATACAGCAAGTGGCTGCCTAGAGCTGGGTCTGACTGACCTGCAAATGGTCAGGAGGTAACTTTTTAAGAGGAAGTATTTTAAAACTGGATTGCAACTTGCACAGTTGTACAGATTTTACTAAAATGTACCAAACTGCACATTTACAATAGTAGGTTACACAGTATGTAAACTATACCCAATAAATGAAGCTGGAAAAACATACTGCTCAGTAATCTTATCAATACATAAACTCTGATATACACATTTAAAAAAATCTCTTCCTCCAGGTGTGAGAAAATGAACACAACACTACACCACGTGGCTGTACTACCCAATTTGACTACTGAAATTTAAATGAATTAAACTAAAAATTGATTTCCACAGCTCTACTAGCCAAATCTTAAGTGCTAAACAGCTATGTAGATAAAGTGCTAAATACATAGCCAGTGGCAATCATTTTGGGCAGCACAGCCACACAAGGTCTGGGATGAGTAAAACTAAAGGATGCCTCATGATACAACGGACAGAAGCTGAGTTTTTACAATACCCTAAAAATATTAACAGTTCATTTAGTATTGTCTTTGCATTCATATATAACCTTGTTAACATCCAGTAATTTTTTACAAGCAAATTAATTCTTTGTAAATCACTCTGTATATGTGCATATATGTACACTAGATCACGATATAAAATGTATTCCTATGGCCTAAGCTAAAAAGTTCTAAAAATTTCTGAAAGCATTCCCACTAAAGCATGAATTTTATGCACCCAATGTAATTTTATACCCCAGCATTCTGATTATGGGAAATAGAGCTAATAACCTTGTACAATAGATTTTTAAGGTATAATTTATACACCATAATAGTTACCCTTCTAACATGTACAACTTTTCAGTATATTTTCAGAAAACTATGCAACCACCAATTCCAGAACATTTTCTATGTCTCTTTTATTAACAATTAGTAGCTGCTATTAACTGAAATATTTGGAATCGAATTATTTTACCAATGTATTCAAGCCTTTAGTTATTTCTCTATAACGTTAAACCATAAACCACAATTCAGTAATTTTGAACAGTAACCTGCAAATGGATACCATTAAAAACTGACAGAATACTCCAGACTTATTTTTATGGAGAATACCCTTCATTAAAAGGAATCAGTAATTCATCAAGAGACATGACTGAATATTTTATGATCCAGGTTTAAAAACCAGACGATTGCTAAGCCAATTCCTCCCTACCAACAGCAGCAACCAGTGGACGGACTGTGCAGTTGTGCCTCCCTGTCTTAGTGCTGGACAGTATACCTAACATCTACTTAGATGATAAGTCATCCACACACACTAATTCAAAATACGAATATGAATATGTTGGCTAAGAAAATTTGGGGGCATGTGCAGAATTCTACTTAAGAATTTAGAAAAGTGGGTGCCTGGGAGGCTCAGTGGGTTAAAGCCTCTGCCTTCAGCTCAGGTCATGATCCCAGAGTCTTGGGATCAAGCCCCACATCAGGCTCTCCGCTCAGCAGGGAGCCTGCTTCCTCCTCTCTCTCTGTGCCTGCCTCTCTGCCTACTTGTGATCTCTGTCTGTCAAATAAATAAATAAAATCTTAAAAAAAAAAAGAATTTAGAAAAGACTGCAAAAAGCTGGGTAAAAGTAAAATCAGACACACTCCCAAGATCTAAAGCCTTTTACAGTCCCTTAAAATTTCTACTACTGCAATTACAGACAACCCCAATGAGAAAAAATAAGCAAAGCTAGCTTTCGGCTTGTATTATTTTATCTCTTAAAAATAGTTAAGTAATGTAACAAGTGCAAATGGAAAATATTTTCAAATGTCTGAAAAAAAAAAGCTTAAAAAAAAAAAAAAACCTCAAAAGCTCCTCTAAGGGGCGCCTGGGTGGCTCAGTGGGTTAAGCCACTGCCTTCGGCTCAGGTCATGATCTCAGGGTCCTGGGATCGAGCCCCGCATCGGGCTCTCTGCTCAGCAGGGAGCCTGCTTCCTCCTCTCTCTCTACCTGCCTCTCTGCCTGCTTGTGATCTCTCTCTGTCAAATAAATAAATAAAATCTTTAAAAAAAAAAAAAAAAAGCTCCTCTAAATCAACATTTTGGAATGCTGATTCCAGATTTTCTGCACTCATACCACATACATAATTTTTTGATTCAAAGAACCATACTATAAACATTTTATCCAGGATTTTTACCTTATGAGCATATAAATGAAAATTCTGTTTTTCGTTGCTACATTTGTAGAGCTCAGAGGAGTGAGTGCCTGGCACATGGATAGTACTCAGTTTATCTCCTCCTTTAGAACATCTCAATAGCATCCTACCACACGAATGCCCCAGGGTTCAATCAGCTCTGGGCTGATAATCTTTAAATTTCAAACTTTCCCTATTAAGACAACCATATCTCAAATTGATTACCATCGGCCCGGATTTCTCCCTTAGGCCTGAAACTTAAAATGACGATTGCATTTCCACGTCTAACTAATACCCCAAGTTTCACAGCCCAAACTGGACCTTTTTAGTATCTTCCCCCGGAGAAGCCCCCCACCAAAACTTCGTTTTTTCTCTTCCCCACCATCACGTACCCACTTACGCAACCCCAAACCCACATTCTCCATTCATCAACCAATCCCACCAGTTCTACCTTCAAAATTTCTCCTGGTATTTGTTTCCCTCCATACCAACCTCGACCCAAGCAATTTCATCTTGTCTCGATTAACACAAAAATATTCTTGGTTCCTTTCTTGCCTCCTGTAATCTATTCTCCACAGAGGAAACCAACTTCATTAAAAGCCAACTTCAGATCAGGTCATTCCTCCGCTTAAAACCTTTCAAACATTCCTCAAAAACACTCAGAATAAACCCCAAACTCCATACATTTACCTGTGAAATTCTGTAAGCCTCCTGCCCATCCATCTCACCGGGCCAAATCCGTAACACAGAACCAGGCGCCCAAAACGGCGCGGCCACGTGTTCACCGAAACGTGCGCCTCCCAGGCCCAAAGTCTTCTGCTAATTTTCAAAGAAAACGGCTCCCACGCGACCCTGAGCAATGTAGTCCTCCCCTTCGTCTTTCCTTGTCCTCTCCTGTCCAACACAAGCCTTGCCCCTCCAACGGTTCAATCTGCAACTTACCTTAAAGATGGCGTAGCCGACGGACGTTTCGAATAGGACCAACATGGTGAGGCCGAGTCAGGGGGCTGCGCGGCCCGCCGCGGCTCTATATCAACGAAAACACACCAAACTTTCGGCCCCCAAAGGCCTGCAAGGCTGCAACGGGCCGCGCACAAATGTGCACGCCTTTCCGCGAAGACTCAGACCACGCTGTCCAAACGTTCCAAACTCGACTGTGTGTAGAACGCCGGAACGCGCTTCTCCTTCTCCAAGGCTTCTGGGGTATGACGTCACTTCCGACAGGTAACGGGACGTCGCTTCCGGTTTGTTCCCGCCGACCGGATGGGAAGGGGGAGAAGGGAAAAAAGAGAAAGGAAGAAAATGTCGCGAGATTTCTTAGGGACTAAAGCGAGCTTTTATGCGGTACGGAAACCTGAAGGGGAAAAACTTTGCTTTTTATTATTTTTTAAAATCCCTGTATGTGATATATTTTACCATGAGAGAAATGCGGAGTTGTTTCGTGCGTTTGCCCAAAGCATCTGAAATTTGGGAAATGCTAGCCCCTTAATTTTACTCCCTGGATGGCGCTGCCCTGAAGTGAGGTTCTCAGGATGACACCATGACTATCCCTGTGCGTGCGAGCCGGGCTGGCCGTTCTCTTCTCTCTGGCCAAACTGGTTTTTTTTTTTTTTAATTTTTATATTTTTTATTTATTTATTTGACAGAGAGAGATCACAAGTAGGCGGAGAGGCAGGCAGAGAGAGAGGAAGGGAAGCAGGCTCCCTGTTGAGCAGCGAGCCCGACGCGGGACTCGATCCCAAGACTCTGGGATCATGACCCCAGCCGAAGGCAGCGGCTTAACCCACTGAGCCACCCAGGCGCCCCAGGCCAAACTGGTTTTTAGCACAGATGTCTTTCATGTATATGTAGGTCTCTCCTATTTTTGCTGCAGTGATTCTAGGGTAGACATTTAGGCATTACGTCCTTGTCTTAGTGGAATTGGCTTTTCTGGGACTTTTCAGTTTGAATGAATGACTTAAATACCTCTATTATTCCACAAGCCTGGCTTTCAAAAGGAGTGAAGTTTCCTTCCTCACTTCCCAGGCCTTATATGCGGATTGTCTGTAAACATTAAGTTGCAACCTGCTGAAAGTTTTGAAACATTAAGTAACTTGATTTTTTTTTTTCAAGCAGCTCTGAAACCTAGGATCTAGAGGAATGAAAATCCTGGACTGAATAACAGAAAAAATGAACATGGGGGAAAATCAAGGGATGGGGGAATCTACGGCACAGACAAGAACATTGTTCGTTATACCTGTAGGATTCAGTGTGGTCAGGGAGGCAAAAGAAACCAAAATGGCTTCACTGGGAAAGGAAGGGTAGATGGCTGAAGTGGAAGCAGTGCATCTGTTTGTGGTATCATATCATTTCATAAGATATATCTTTATTGGTCTAGTTTTCTTTTTTTAAGATTTTATTTTTTTAAGTAATCTCTACACCCAACATGGGGCTCAAACTTACAACCCCAGTATCAAAAGACGCATGCTCAACCGACTGAGCCATCCAGGTGCCCCTCTTCAAAAAACTTAACCATTTAATGAATAAATGTTTGCAGGAAGTAAAATTCTTTTTCTTGCCTCTAAAGCTTCCATCCTGGGGCGCCTGGGTGGCTCAGTGGGTTAAAGCCTCTGCCTTCAGCTCGGGTCATGATCCCAGAGTCCTGGGATCAAGCTCCCACCGGGCTCTCTGCTCAGGGGAGAGACTGCTTCCTTCCTCTCTCTCTTCCTGCCTCTCTGCCTACTTGTGATCTCTCTCTGTCAAATAAATAAATAAAATATTTAAAAAATAAATAAATAAAGCTTCCATCCTTTACTCAGAGAGAAATGAAACCACTTATTCACGGAGCACCCTCTTTACTGTGGCTTCTCCGAGAAGTTGTCTTTGCACGTTGGCATTTATATAATCAGCTCAGTGCTGCTTTAGTGCGGGGTTCAGAGCTGACTCTGGATTTGGATTTGGATCTTGGCCAAATACAGTAATTGTCTGAAAATTCCCTGCTGCAAGAGAAAAATAAGAGATTTAATACTTGATTAAACAAAGTACTAGGTCAAGGGGAGATAGCACAAAGAAGTATGAGGAGGAGAACATGGGAGAGTATAGATAACCCAGAAGACGGACTTATAACTTCAGTAATGACTTAGCATGGTGAAACGACAAAGATAAGAAACATGGTTCTTCGGTTCTCTCCCCACCGTCTAGCCCCAACCCTGACCTAGCTAGAATATAAGCTCCATGAAATTTCACTGATAGATGCCCAGTACCAAGCTAGTATCTGGCTCATGGTAGGGACTCCATAAATATGACTAGCGATGAGTGAATGAAAGACTGGAATGAATAATGGGATTAAATTTCAAGGCGCTAATACAGGCTCCCTGTACTTCTTGGGACCAACTGATATTAGCAAAATATATCCTTTTGTTCTGAGACCTCCCATGTGTCTTGTAATAAACGGAAGGAGATGTTTGGATCTTTCATGTCGTTCAAGTAGTAAACATCTTTATGTAGTCAACAGATAGGAGTCTTTACTCTCTGTCAAACATTCTTATAGGCACTAAGGACATAAGAGTGAACAAAACATGGAAAAATCTCCACACTTCATGGAACTTATATTCTAGTGAGGGGAAACTAAATAAATATCTAGTATATTAGAGAATACTAGGTGCTACAGAGAAAAAGAAAGCAGGATAGGGGAATAAGATATTCCTGGATGGCCAGGAAATGCCTCATTGAGTTGACATTTGAATAAATGACTTTAGGGAGCCAGCTCTCACAATATCTGGAGGAAAATTATTTCAGGCAAAGAGAACAGTTTATTTAAAGACACCCAAGCAAGAGTGTGCCTGGTATGTTCTCAGAACAGTATGACCAATATGACCAGTATGACAGTATTGACTAATAAATGACCCCATTTAAAATTAATGAATTAACATGTTTATCAATGTAACAATTAGTATTTGTTTTCAATGCTCATCATATGATGTAATTCTCACAACAAACTTAGGCAACAAGTACTCTAATTATTACCCTCACTTGCCTTTTCAAAGAAGTTAAGAACCCATGATGACACAACCTCCTTCATGGTTTCCTTTAGGAATCCCCAGAGGCTGGGCCGTAGAGATTGTTTCTGTCATAGAATTGTTGAGCTGCTGCCTGTGCTCTGCTGTCTGCTAGTAGCGCTGTCTTTCTGGTGACAGCTGCCACATCACTGAACACAGGTGCTGCCCACACCATGGCCCATTTTCTGTACGACACCACCTTCAAGGGTTCTTGTTCCTCTCCAAGTAGCAGGGAAGCAGCTTGGTGCTTCTTCACCTGTTCTTTTGTGAGACATATTTTTTGTTTTGCCAAAGTCCTCTCCTTTAAGAGCCCATGGTACTGGGAGGAGAAAGAGGCAGTTAGGACATGGGTTGGAAACAGGCTCAAGTCTCAGGCCACCCGTTCTAACAGCCATGCCTTCTTTCCTGCTCAATCTGGCTCATGCAACCAGATTCAGGATGATTTCCTTTCATGAGCCTGTTGTCATCTCTCCAGCCTGGCATTTTCTGAGGGTTTCCTCAGAAACCCTCTTCAGATCAGTATTTGAAGGAAAATCTTTTCTTTTTTTGAAAGAATTTATTTTTAAGTAATCTCTACACCAAAAGTGGGGCTCAAACTCACAACCCTGAGATTAGGAGTCACACGCTCTATGGGCTGAACCAGGCAGGCACCCCCTAAATGAAAATATTAATGACTTTCCCTTATTTGCCCTATGTACTATAGATCCTATGTAAGAGCATGTTTCAATTGAGTTCCTGACTATTTTAGTTAAAAAGTTTCCTGAATTAAAAAAAAAAGATTTCCAGAACAATGAGACATAACAGTTTGGATAGCCTTCAGAGAGGGTAGCCTACCTAGAGAACACAGAAGTGATCTGTGTTCTGGGAAGCTGTGTCACCTAACTCTGAACAGCCCAAAAAAGTCTCATCTCTGACCAGTTAATTACCATTACGCTCTTTCATCATTTTCTTTTTTCTTTCTTTAACGATTTTATTTATTTATTTGACAGAGATCACAGGTAGGCAGAGAGGCAGGCAGGGGTTGGGGGAGCAGTCTCCCCACTGAGCCAAGAGCCTGATGCGGGGCTCCATCCTAGGACCCTGACATCATGACCTGAGCCGAAGGCAGAGGCTCAACCCACTGAGCCACACAGGTGCCCCTCTTTCCTCATTTTCTTGTGAACTTGGACAAAATGAACAATCCTCTCTAAGCTAATCAACTCTGGATTCCTGGTCAAAATTGAGTTTCTTACTTATAAGGCTAAGGTCCAGACCCTGAACGACATCCTGATATGGGCCTGAAAAGACTGTTAGCTGGCCTCTAATCTTTGACATTAGTACCTCAAGTCTAACTTCAACATTCCTTGCCCACAATGAGCTCAAAGTAGCTTTTCCAAAAATAAGACCTATGCATGTTTAAAAATTCTAAAATACTGAAAGGTAACTCATTCATGGGATGCCTTGGTGGCTCACTTGGCTAAGCATCTGCCTTTGAGCCCCAATTGAGCTCCTGGCTGAGCAGAGAGTCTGCTTCTCCCTTTCCCTCTGCCCCTTCCCCTGCTCATGTTCTCTCTCTCTCTCTCAAAAAAAAAAAAAAAAAAAGGATAGCTCATTCACTTATATATCTACTACATTCTAGACCCTATACTTTGTTCTGGTCAAAGATATGGAATACATAATCCCTGCCCTCAAGTTGCTGCTGATTTGTGGGGAAAGCAGACTAGTACAACACAATTACAACACAGCAAAAGTAAGCCAGAGTCCAAATCTCGGCTTCACCTCTTACTACTTAACAGATCTTTAGGTCCCTGGGTAAATGATTTAACTTCTTGGTACTTTTCTTGTGTGTAAAATAGGAGTAACATCTACCTCACAGAGTTATTGTGACTACTAAGCAAGATAATATCTTTGTTGACCTTACTTAAGTGCTCAGTAAATGGCAATGATTACCATGTAATTAAATTAAATTAAATTAAGACTGTAATTCAGGGGCGCCTGAGTGGCTCAGTCATTAAGCAACTACCTTCCCAGTGTCCTGGGATCCAGCCCCGCTTAGAGCTCTCTGCTCAGCTGGAAGCCTGCTTCTTCCTCTCCCAGTCCCCCTGCTTGTGTTCTCTTTCACTCTGTCTGTCTGTCTCTGTCTCTCTCTCTCTCTGTCTAATAAATAAATAAAA